TAAGCTGCATTCAAGTTGATGATCATAATAAAGCAACTAGAATAAAGTGCTGGGTAAATGTTGATTGAAATTGAAAAGCATGAAGTGGCAATAAGCAAAGGACAGATGCCAGCATAAGGGCGAGGCGAATGGGCATGCCTTTGCCGGCTGGCTAGCTGTCTAGCTGGCTGGCAAGCACCTGGCGTGCAACAGGGAAAGACCGGAGTGATATGAAAATGTGATTTAAAAAATGACAAACGACGGGCAAATAAACATATTTACATTGTGTGCTACAAACAAAATCTGTGTGATACCAACATGCAGGGCAGAACGTAAAGCAAAACATATATATATGTATATATATAGATGTCTTACCTTCAAAGTTCTTATCAATATTGTCTATGATTTCCTGATCCTTGCTCTGACGACGCGAATCCAGTAAATCCATGTCATTGCGGAAGCCCTTCTGCTCACCCACGTTAGCATCCTTTGAATTGATTTTGCCTGAAGCCAAATACGGAACAGTTAGAGCTTTAATTTGAATCTACGTGTGCGTGCGTGTGTGTGTGTGTGTGTGACTCACCTGAGGGACAGGCTGCATGCTGACCGGTCGCCACATTCTGATAGAAATAGTTCTCCTCCAGCCAACGCGGCGCACCATGGGAGCGACACTTGCCAGCAATTTTGTCCCAGGCACAATACGGATCCTGCAATGCGACGCATTCACTGCAAAGGGTACGGAGATGGTGGGCTCTTGAGAGGAATGCTCAAATGGCAATGGTGTAAACATATTGCAAATTGTGAAATGTAAAACGCCATAAATGCGCATAAAGTGCTAGCATATTGCAGCAGCAACAGCAACAGCAACAGCAGCAGCAGCAACAGCTGCAGACAGACAAATGGCTGGAGATACTGTTTTTCTCTCTTGCTCTGCCTTTCTCTCTCTCTCTCTCAGTCTGTCACTAACTCGTGCTCTGTCTGGCAGACTTCGCTTGAAAGTCACGCAAATTGTTACATGAAATAAAAATGTCATTGTTCTTGCTGTTGCTGTTGCTGCTGTTGCTGCTGCTGCTGCTGTCGCAATTGCCGCTGCAGCTGTCGCGACGCGTCGCTTCAATCTGTTTCATATACATATGTATGTATTTGGTATATTTCTTTTTTCTCCGTGCATGACGCTTACCTGCAGCTGGTGATTTTGTCATTGTGACATCGATGCAGTTGTATGGCTATCACCTGACTATCGGTGACAATGATTAATTTACCATCGTCGTAGCTGCCATCTTTCGGTTGATCTGCGAATCGTATTTGATACAATGGGAGCTCGTTACACATTCCATTTTTAATTGACTCTTATTGGATGGGTCTGCTGCCCCGTTCCACTCACCGTATTGCATAGTTCGCACAATTTCCAAATTGCGTATGGGCTCACTCTTGGGCAGCACATCGATCTCCTCAATGACCACCGATGTCACCTTTTCGGCCGAGTCAGCTGATTCGGCATTCACGGACTTTATAATCTTTCCATGGTCTGGATGGAGAAAAAAGAAAAAGACATGTTATTTATTGAAAGCCATTTAATGAAAGCCATTTCCTTAATGTAATATTCTCAAGCGATAAACTAATAAGAGTCCCATTATCAAGAATTATTACCAAATGCTTTATTAGTACATATATCCTAGATGAATTACTTGTAATGCTTGTACAGGAATATACAGGAATATTTATTGAATATTCAGAAAAAATGCCTTTAAAGTCGAAATATATTCCGTAAAAAAACAGATATTGCAATAGCTAAATATGTTTTATGTTGATAGCTTGATAAAGTTCACTGCATAATAATATTCAGATGTCTATGTATATACATATGTATATCCCATATGTATATGATGCCGCCCGGCATCAGCGCACAGACACCAATATCCTTTGGGAGCACATTCAGACACTGATAGCAACCATAACGACAATCGATGTCAAGCGTAAATTGACCCCGGGGACCACGACAATTGGCCATGTCGAATGCGACTCACCTGTGCCAACGAAAATCACATCATACGTCTTGCCGCCGGGCGTTTTGATCTGTGCGTCAACTGCGATTTGTGTGAAGCGATAACTGTAAATAAGGAGAGAAATAACACAATATGAATATTAAATTCTTGAAGTTAGTGTAAGCTTTAAGGGCAGATATTATCCTGTGAAAAGGGATCTGTATGTTGGAGCCCTACAAAGCAACCTGTGGTCTCCGCTGCAGATAAGACAGAGATGGAGAGATGATGGAGCAGATAGAGAGCAATTATAACTCTCCTGCTCTCAGTAAGAAATGCTTAAATTTATGAAATCAATATTCAATTTATGAAATCCTTTAATTTAGATTCAAAAATTAAATACTACACTGGACATTTTAAATAAATTTTATTTGTTAACAAATCTATGAATAAGTCGCAATAATACATATGTATATCTTTTCAACCTTTATAGTCTATAACCTGTTGAAATACTACTTCTTTCTGTATCAGCATTAATAAATGGTGGAGTCACATTGAAGCTTAAACAGCTTGTTCTCTGATCACACTTATGGCATTCTGCAATATGCAGCAAGCAAGGCCAATCTTATCTGCCCCGTCCTCTCTATCTAATAGCGTACTTATCAAAGTTTTTTAGTTCTATGCACAAATTGGAACCGCAAACAACATGTCAATGCTGCCAGCGCTGAATGACACAACAGGACACTTTTTGGATAGGCGGTTGGTTTTTCGGTTAGACACCATTAATAAAGGGAAGACAGGAGAGGGGGGAGAGGACACAGATGGAGAGAGAGAGAGAGAGGGATAGAGGTATAGCTGGTCGCTGTAGCAATGGTGAGAATGACAAACAGAATGGCAGAAAACCACAACAGCGGTAGCAACAACTGCAACAGCAGCAGCACCAACAATTGCTGCTGCTGCTGTGTGTGTGTTTGTGCATTTGTATTTATATGTAAAAACATATTCGAGCGAACAGCAACAAAGGACATGAAAATAAAAACGGAAATTTCTCTCTGATTTCACCACAAAAATGTTGAACGTTAGCTTTGCTGTTGTTGTTGCTGTTGTTGTCTTTGTCCTTGTTGCAAGCAACATTTGTGGCTGTGCGCTTGGCTGCCTTGTCTATTGTTGTTTTTTCGTGCAACGGTTTATGTATCTGAGCTGTGTGTCAGTTGTTGCCTCGATTTAAATGCAAATGCTCGCCATGGACAACTTTAGCAGCAGCAACAGCTAAAGCAGCAACAGCTACAGCAGCAACATCAAATGGGCCCAACTGGACGAAGCCTGTATGGCAGGCATTGTGCATTGTTTTATTGTTAATTAACAAATCTAGTTTTTTGAGCTTTAGTTATGTTTCCCAATTTTCTAAATGGCCAAAGAATTGCATCGCTTTTTTGGTCTGGCCAGCCATCTGGCTTAAATGGCCTCCATTTTGTGTTGACTGTTGCGGTCTGTCTCGCTGTCTCGCTGGCTATGTGTGCCGAGAGCTGGGAATAAACTAATGCGTGTGTGCCGGGCCCAGATAGGGCCAGAGCTTAAACTCAAATTGAAAAAGTTTGCCAACAGATCCCATAGGCCTTGATTGTAAAATAATGATGGCAAGCGAATCTATTTGAGAATCCAAACTCGTTTCGAACTGCTGCAGCATTTCCCATTCTGTTAGTCTAGTAAGTCGATCTATTCGAAATATCAGTTCTAAATTTGATAAACCATAAATGGAGACAATATCTGGGTAGCAAGTGAATATTTTGAAGGCAAGATAGAGATGATATGGCGAAGAGATAAACAAAGTCAATGAATAAATTTATTGATTTTTTCTCTTTTAGATTATAAAATTCTCTTATATATTTTATCATGATACATAAATGCATATTAGTTTTTATTTTAGTTGAGACATTATATAATTAGAATATTTTCTTATAATATAAAATAAATTTAAATTAGGTTTAGTCCCATTTTGTGTCATATTCATCGTTCATTGTTCAATGAAAGTTTTCAATTAAAGAAACAACAATAAATATATACATATATACATATTCATATATAAAATTTAATGGAATGTACGCTGAAAGCAAAGTTGAGGCGGCTTATAAATTAATTCCCAGAGCAACAAAAGCTACAGAATGATATGAAATAAGTCCAAACAAGAATGAAACAAGCAGCAATGGCTGATGGGGACAAAAGTCCCATGAATGGCAATGCAAAAGTGCTGCCAAAAAGGAAAAAAACAGCAACTTTGCTGGCCGAAAATTATAAAATGGGAAAAGGCCATGCCAGTACGAAAGGCAGCAACAACAGCAGCGAAATAAAATAGAATAAAGATACATGGAAAAAATAGAAGAAGAGCAAAGAAAAACAAAGAAAAGGACAGTTTTAGAGGGGCAGGTTAGGGTTTGAGTTCTTCTGCTAGCAGCTGGCAATTGAAACTTGCACAATTTTAGCCAACTTTTGTGTCGCTCCGATGAGCTTAGACTCGGCACTGCTGACAACAACAACAACAACAACAGCAACAAAAGTAACAGCAACAGCGATGAGGGTCACAAGTGGAAGTCAACTCTATTCGCAATGGAATGAAATTAGTGTGGGCAAAGCCAGAGCCAAAGCTCACGGTCTCGTTGCGAGTCTGTGGCTGAGCAGCAGCCGGAGGGCAAGGACATGCATGATAAAGGCCATGACAGTAAAAGTGGCAGAGGTATAAAAACTTGACCGATAAGATAAGCGCACACAACAGCATTGTGGCTGGCACCTTGGCAATGGCACTGGCACTGGCCCTGGCACTGGCACTGGATCTGGCAATAGTAGTGCGCCTGTCAAGCAAAAGAGGCTGGCCAGGATATGGTCAACCAGCTGGCAGAAATCTGTCGAGTATGGATACTTCCGGGCCGACCAGGAAACAATTTGTTACAGAGACGCTGACCCCAGCGACTTGCAACTTGAAGCATTTAACTTTTGTGAAGCTTCTAAAACTTTTCCGTTATATAGGAAACTTTCTTGACGCTGCCAACTCGGCCCAACCCCGGGCAGAGTCCGGGCCCAACCAGAGTCCAGCCTCCCCTGGCATATGCAAATGAGTATCCTGCGGGGTTTGAGTGTGTGCATTCGTTTGGGTGTGTGTGTGTGTGAGTGTGTGTGTGAGAGTGTGCTACTTTTGGCTACATGCGCTTTCATAGCTCGATTGCTGATTTATTTATTCACACACAATGCCCCCCTTGAAAAATGTTTTGGCTCAAATAAAATTATAATAAATTTATGCTCTAGTCGAATGTCATTTTTGATTTGATTTTGGCTTTTGTGTTCAATAATGCCACAGAAACACCAAACAAAAATCGAAAACCTATCAAATTATTTGGCACGAAAATCAGCTTCTCCCTCACTCGCGTTTGCGTCAAATTTTGAATTTGATCAAATTTGAAACTTTAAGAGCATTTTAGCCGGCTCCGTAAATGGAAACCGTAAACTAATTTATATCCACTAAAACAGACAGCATAAATATGCAGCTTATCACATCTTTAGACAGGTCCATATATAGAGGCAGCTAAACTACGTTTAAAGACAGAAGCTAAACAAATGTCTATCAATGCATATAATATATGAATATTTTTCCATTTTTAAAAACTTTTGATATAGTAATAATTCATCAGTTTTGTTATAAATCTGCCAAAAATTATTATTCCTATGATATATCAATAACTATTTCTATTATATAAAATTGATTGAATTTCTAGATTCACGAATGACAGCTGAGTTTGCCTTTAAGTAAGTCCATTGCAATCTGCTCTCACTTTACTCCACTCTCGTGCTCATTCTCATTCTCGTCTGTGACTTGATTCAATGATAACAAATTTTGGCAGCTAAGCTTGTCAGCTCTGGAAAATAAGCTCAATAAATGTGAGATAAACACACAAATCTTGTATCGGATGCTGCCTGGCAGCTGTAGCATTACACCACATCTAGCACATTCGCTCAGCTGTGACTTTCATCATCTTTAACTGCGGTTCGTGCCAGGCCAAAGAAGTTGTCGAGTTTATCAACTGTGTGTGTGTGTGTGTGTGTGTGTGTGTGACAAATGCAACTGTAACTGCAATTGAAGCTACTGTGCACTTGTGCATGACCGACTTACGCGCTGGGACAAGCCAAAAGAAAAAAAGACTAGAAAAAGTATCAATTGGGTTGCCAAATAACTTTCAGCGTAACTTTTAAGCTTTTCAATTGCGCTGGGCATGATTAAATTCTGATGCATGCACTCTCGAATCGCGCTTATTGTGAGCAGATCTGGCCAAAACCACAATAAGTCAGCTGCAGTTGCACTGAAATGGCTAAAAAGGAACAAGTCCTTCGCCCAGCATCCAACGGAAGGACACGCAACCACTTCGCTAATGCCACTCGCCCGCACACAGCATTTGTTGTGGTCTCGCCATGTGTGTGTGAGTGTGCGGGTTGGGGTTTGTGCTTTGGTTTTGGGTGGTTGAGTGGCTGCTTGGCTGGCAGTTGGTTCCGGTCCTACGTGTTCCATATTTCATTCTAATTTATTCAGTTGTGCATACATATTTTCGTTACGGGTTGCCTCAGCGCATCCATGCATTTCCTTCTGGCTGGCTCGGTTCGTTTGGCTCAAACTATCGCTTGACTGCAGCAGCAACGGCAGCCGTAGCAGCAGCAGCAGTAGCCGCAGCAGGTGCCGACGGCACCACTATCACACCGCCGCACCACCACGCTGCCATTCGGCACCGCTCTGCTTGGCTCTGCTCTGCTCAGTGGCTTGCATATGATTTACTCTTTAAAGTTCACCACCGCCCCGTCTCAACAGCCCGTAATTGTGGCTCAATTACATGGAAAAGTTGCCAAATTGAATTTTTAAATTTCCACATGTCTGCGAGCGAGTCTTGAAAATAATTTATGAGCATGCAGAAAAGGCCCAGACACTAGCTCCGACCCAGCTGGACCAGCTGTAGAGACGGCCCGAAACATTTCTTGATGCTTCAAAAGCCAATTTCTCTATAAAGAGTAAATGTGGGCGTGTGGGTGCATGTGTGTGTGTGTGTGTGTGTGTGTTTGAATACATACATACATACATAGAGTATGCTTTCTTTTTGAGCAAAATGATTCCATTGTGGCGCAAGCATTTTGAGTGCACAGCGTATGTCATATGCTGACTCTTAAAGCTTTTTCAAGAAATTAGAGGAAAGCCTTTGAAGTCCTTCGGTATAAATGGAAATTAATATTTTGATTTAGTATTGATTTACAATTACATTACTTAACGGAAATTCAATCAAAATTCGGGGAAAATGTGTGAATTTAAAATACAATATTCTGAGAAACGAAACGAAATTCACTTGAAGACCAAAATGTAAATTGTCGCATATATGAAAAATATTGACTTTGCTAGTCGAAATATGTATACCCAAAAAGAAAACCTAGAATAAGACTCGGATTTTATATAAATATATTAAGACCTTAACTTATTCATGTATATTTTCTGTAGCTTAAATTTAAAAAGTATTTTTTTATACAATTATTACATATTAAATTCGAAGAAAGAAAGAAAAGCTCTGATTAGCTAAATATATCAAATCTTTTCAGTGAGAAACTTCACACTTTTCCTTAGCTCTTAGCTGGATATGGCTAGAAGTTTTAGCCAATTCAGAGCTGCAGCAGCAGCGATTACGACAGCTGCATGCGAAAAGTTGTAGCATATCAGATGGCGAGGAATTTGTTATTTAAATGAAATTAGTTGAATTGTGGGGCACTGAAATTGGTTCGTCACGTATTCACTTGGCCACATCCGCAGCAGCAGCAGCAGCAGCAGCAGAGGCAGCGACAGCGACAGCAATGCCAGCTGCAGCTGCAGTTAAAGTTTTTTGCAATTCACACATGGAATGCAGGGCCAGCCCGGAACACGCCCACGTCCTCAACTAAGTTATGAGCGCATAGTTTTTGGCAATAATATTTACATTGCCGCAACACTATGCGGGGCAACGTGCCGCCCGTGCAGCATAAGCAGCAGAAGAAAGCGTTGCATATACATATATTTATAACGAGATTGTATGTGTGTGTTAGAGAGAGAGAGAGAGAGAAAGAAGTACTTACATTGTGCTCGTCCGCACTAAAATCGGTTGACCGAAAAATGCCGGAACATTCTCGTCCATTAGCGAATGTGTTTTGATGAAATTTAATGTGGGATCCGGAAGCGTTCGTGAATCATTGTGACAGGCGCCAGGACGCGGTTCGGGCACCTACAAAAAAAAAGAAGTCCATGACGAGGACAGAGAAAGAGAGTGAAGAGAAAGAGAGATTTAATATAAATTATTAGTATCCTTCAGTATATGACTGCAATGTGGTTATGGTTATGGTTATGCTCGGTCAGTTATAGCTGCTCCTTGGCCTGCTGCCTCCTGCCTGCTGCCCGCTCTATCTGCTCCTCATTTCTGGCCACAGAAGGGAGCGTATAAATTGCATTTGCGGCGCTCGCGTTGCTCGTAACAAATACCCGTACACAACGTTCCGGAAATTGCTCAGTACGGCCAAGTGCAGACGGACAAAGCAGCGCCGGAAAGTGTCCTTTGTGCGAGTGTGTCTGACTGGGTGTGTATGAGTGTGTGTGTGTGTGCTCACTGTCTGTGAGCTTTCTGTTTTGGCAATGATTTGGTTTATGAATCGCCAGCGGAAAATGCCCGCTCCCATGGTGACTTCGCTGATTCGTGTGTGTCGTGTGGAAATTATTAAGCATCAGGCATTCAGGCAACTCCTTTTATAGCCATACAGGATGTATTGGTCATATGGTTGACAGTACAGCACAACAAGTCAAAGCTGCTGCCTGATGTGAAATGTTATGTGACTCTTGTGGGTAGACTGATTACAATGTTGGCTTATTGCCTGCTCGTGCACAATACCATAACAATGATATCAGTTCGTAATTCACAGAAGAGACACCTGCCTTTTACATAATTCATTTAAAATTATTTATATATATTTCTTTTATAACAGAAGCAGATCTATATCTAAATATGACTCAACTTTCTTAACTGAATTAATGAAATTCTTTTGCAGCTCAACATTTTTGCTGGTTTTACGCATAATTAGGGTTTTTCTATCATAATTCTGGTAAGGAGTTGAATTGCACTTTATCCTTTCCGTTTGTTATAGCTTCTGTGCATAACTGAAGCTCTCCAGCGAGGCAGGAGGGCAGCGGCTGCTGTGTTATATTAAAAGTTTTACGCATTTCAGAGTACGGCCATTGTTTCGAATTTCAAACATCTTCAATTTCTAATTTGGCTCTCCATGAACCGCAAATTCCGTTGGCCAAAAACCAAAATGCCAGCCGTTAGCAGCATATGCAGTCAGAGCTGGCTGCCATTTCGGCAAATACATTCGTAATTCAAATGCAAATTTTTGGCAAAAGAAAAGTACATTTTCTATTATTTGTATTTTTTATTTTTTGCTGCTTTCTTGTGGTCATAAATTGTGAAGCAGCTGCGCTTAACTGCTTTTCCGCTTGCGATGTGAAAGTGAGCATTAACCGAACCACACCCAATATTATATATGCAGACGTATTTGTATGTATGAGTGTAGTATATATTGATAGATGAAATAGTGGTACGCACCTTGGCATTATTTACTGGCAGCCAGTTGGAGTTGATGCCGCTCTGCTCCTTGAACTGTCCCTCGAACGTGTCGGCAATGTCCTGTGGTTAGCAACAGCAGAAGGAAGAGAGTGAAAGGGAGAAATGTACACAAGTTAAGGTCTGGGCCGCAGTTCAGGTAAATCGTAATTGTGCACTCACCTGCAAGGCGAAAGCACAAACCGCTGAGCCGGGAATTGAATTTGTTGGCGTATTAAAAACGCCATAAATCAATTTGGAGCTCATGGAGCCGTACTGTCCCTCGACGAGATTGCTAGCCGATTCTGTGGGCAGCAAAATATATATATATATATATATGTATATATAAAATATTATTTGAATCAAATTCAAAGCTATGCTCAGTCACTTACGTATCTCATTAAAGTAGAACGGATAGTCGCCCGGTATGGAGCAGTTCAGGCGGGACTTGAGGAACGAGGTCCAGCGATTGCGAAAGCGATGCGGGCCGCCCTTATCCCATTTGCAGACGCGTGCGACGCGCGAATAAATCGCCTAAAATGCCAAAAAAGATAAATATTAATAGTGTGCAGGCGAACGAGGAGAACGAGCAGGGGGAGTCGAAATGGGCGGCAAATGCAGCTAATCGGTCCATTGATGTGGTCGCATCCCAATAGAAAACCAACAAACGCGGCCCATAAACAAATAGCCGGTAAAATCCAAAACCGATAACTGTATTTGGCCATTGGACCAAAGCCAAAGCCAAAGCCAGAGCCAGAGCCAGAGCACGAGCCGGAAGTGTGTACGCATAAAGCAAACACAAGCAAAATGGCCGCCCAATATGGCGGCGATAGAGCTATATCCGCTCGCTATCGCTCTCTCTCTCTCTCTCTCCCTCTCTCTCTCTCTCTCATACTCTCTCACTCTTTCAATCTAACCAATTACATTTGTTGTAGATACGAATTTATTTTGGTCTATTGCCAGCATATTCCGATCGATTCGCGTTACTCACCTTGCCACAGTTGATGAATTCCACAGCCGTTTCCCGGAAGAAGAAGTAGACAAAATCCCCCTGGGTAAATGAGCTCACAAAATTTGGCGCTGCAAATTGAGAAAAATATATGAAATTATAGAATAAAACTCAGAAATGAACGAATATGCGTTAAAAAGTTAAGTCATAAATTCCATTTATAGTTTTGGCTGTAAACAATTTTTATGGTCACCAGTCTCACAGGATTCTCATAGAATTTATATGAAAGTCGTGCGGACGAATCGAATCCATAACGAATCCATATCGAGTGTCAGTCTTAGACATTAAATTTAATGCGTAGCGCATGAGGCATAAAGTTTTACGCCAGCTCAAATGCATACAGAATTTGACATAGATTTGCAAAATGATAGCAAATATATATATGTACATACATATATATATATAACTCAAGGCTAAGATGTGAATGCCAAGCTAGATTAGAGTTAGTTTATAGTAAAACGAATGTTCTTTGATTTATATGAATGAAATTTCCTTTTGAAAATTGCAGATAATATTCTTTAAAGTCTTTATGCATATTGTACTCTTTCATGGACCGTTTTCCAGTTGGCAAACATAACTTTAAGAGCCGTTGGTCAGTGAGTCACCTGCAACGCGGGGCAGCATAAACTATTCATGATGCGCATAAAGCAAAACGGGCAATGGATGAGCTTGATGTATCTCAAAACAGTAAAGGACAACCAACTGGCAGGCAGTCAAAGCTGTCATGTCTATTCAGTTAATGGAAGTTGACCATATGAAAATCGTAGCGTCGAGCGCCTGAAATATGCAAAAGGCAACAGCACGCAGTGTGACTTCGAATCATTGGCTGCCCGAGCATTGAGAGAGACCACCGTGATGTGAACCAGACACATACACACACACGCACAGTCGGACTTAATTCAATTCAAGTGGCGAGCATTTCGCTAATATAAAGAGAGAGCACACTGCACAATAATAATCATAACAGAGCCGACATTTCAATTACGACGAGTGCCAGTGGGGGGGCGCTTAAAGAGAAGGCGTGCTGCAGATGGGAGCTGGAAATGTTGTAAACAACTTACCATTGAGACTGAGGCTATCGTATTGTTCCGTTTGGAGAGGCTCACGATAGATAATCGGATCACTGCCGCTGAAATCTGCCACAGTGCCAGAGTATAATTCGTTGTCTGGAAAAAGCAGAAGGAGAGAAATTGTATTATTATTGTGTGAAATAAATAAAATATTTATAAAATGTGAGAGAGCGGCTTATTAAAGTTGATAAGCTGCTGAAACTTATATGCAAACGTAGCCAACTCGTGTCTAATTGAACTTATTTGACATATTAATTCACCTCTTCAATCAAGCTCTTAAGTCAATTAAAAATCAGTTACGGTAAATGTTTAGCTCATCAAATTTCGGCTCATTCCGCGCACTTTTATAGCCGCGCATAAATCGCGCCTGGAAATTTGTTGTGCATAATCCAAAGTATCGTTATTATCTGCTTGTAAAAATTTTAGGCGCATTATACAAGAAAAATGCGACCAAAAATGGCGCTAATAAATGTCAATTACACGTCGCATTTTATTAAGTGTAAATGATATTTTTTATGTGCAAATTTTAGCTCACATTTGCAATGCAATAAACTTTTATTTTGCGTGTCGCATGGACGGAGGACCAGGACAGGCGTAGGAAGGCGTGGCAAACTGTTAGCTTGGGCCAATTTGCGTAACTAAAATATGCAAAAGACTTAAGACTTGAGAGAGAGCCAGAGACACAAATTACGTATTACTAAGAAATTGGTTTAGGTCGACGGGCGAGGCCAGTGCCAAGTCGAGTCGAGTCGAGTCAAGCGAATGAAAATAATAAAATTTTAATCAATTGTTGCTTTATTCTCTGCGGCACTTGCGCTCATTACACATACGCAACGCTGTGTACATGCGGACCAAAATGAAAATGCGAATTCGCGAGGAAAATTTAATTAAGTTAAACGAGAAAACACAACACACAATACAACAGAAGCGGCAGCAAAACTTTTGACATGTCTTCGGCGACATTGAATTGCCCTGCGGCCAGAAGGGAGCAGTGAAGTGTCCCTCTCTCTGCCTCAGCGCAAGATAAATGAGTTTTTTCTGCCTCAACTTTTTACTTGCGGAATTGCCCGACTGCCTGTGCCTGTGCCTGAGCCTGAGCCTGCCTGCTGGCTTTGGCATTGTCAAACTTCAATTCCAAGAGCAAAAGAAATATGAAAAAACACAACAATAACAACAACAACAAAAACGAAAAGAAAAAGAAAAAGAAAGAAATACACAGAGCAGCAATAGCAACAGCAGCAGTAACAACATTAACAACAACAACTACAGCAACAACAACAACAAGTGGATCGGGCAACCGGAAATGCCCAGCAAGCTGGCTACGTTGCCCGTTTATTGTCTGGCCGGAAATGGTTTTGCCTTCGGCCCAATACAGCAGCCGCACCCCCAGCACTGCGAGTGTCCAATGGAGCTCATTGCCAGCCGACGGCTCAATGACAGAATCGATTGCTATGTTGGCTTTGTGCGCTGTGCCCGCAGGCGCTTTGGCCAAAAGTTCGAGAGCAACAGCGGCGAGTCGAGCAAGCCAAACGCCACATTATCGTTGCATCTACAAGTAGCACAGGGCCAGCGAAAGGAGACGGCGAAGGAGGGCGGCGGCAGAGCGTGCTCGGCTGGACGTTGAAACAAATCTTCCAACAGTCTGTTGAAATTTTTGCATAATGTTTGGGTTTGTCAGGCATCTGACAAGGCAACCGCTAGACGTTTTGCCTTATTCCAAAAAAGCTAAAGTTATTTTGATCTCTTTAATTACCCACACAAATATATATAAACAGAGAGTAATATTCAGCAACAGCCGAAGGAAAATAATGAAACTTTGACAATAAATTATCTTTTTAATTTATCAAATCTATTGTAAACGATACCAACATTCGAAACTAAGAACACATTTCCTCAATTTAAATAGAAATTCTTGACGTGGCAGGGCTAAGGCAAACACAAGTTGGCTATTTACGCCACGGTCGGTCAACATCCTCGATAGTATAGTGGTTAGTATCCCCGCCTGTCACGCGGGAGACCGGGGTTCAATTCCCCGTCGGGGAGGAAAGTGCAAATTTTTTTTATAATTAAAGAAATATATACATATTTGAATTGACTGAGTTTAGTTTATATTCATAATAATTTAAATAGATAACTCTATTTTCTATACTTTTAAATTTATATTTTATATATATTGTAATTTTAACTGATAGAATTAATATAAAATAACAAAAATAAAAAAGCGACTCATTCGCCTCTCCCCGACGGGGAATTGAACCCCGGTCTCCCGCGTGACAGGCGGGGATACTA